GTAATCTCGAGTGTGGGAAATTAACGTCTCCTACCCCCAACCCTGCAGGAGACAGGACCTCCATTTATTGGTCCCTATCCGAGAAGACTAAAATATCTAACCATTTCTTGATGTTATAGAAATGTAGCAAATTCTTCTCAATTATTTAAAGACCCCAAGTGTTGGTCCAGCCAGGGATCGAACCCTCAACCTCCCGCACAACAGTCCAGCGCTCTATCCATTGAGCTAAATGGGAGGCGCGAATTCTCCCCTCAGGCTGCTACACATTTCCTTGCAAATTAGTTGTGGTCATTTGGTGTTAGGTCAAGATAACAACTTCTACCCGATAAGTTTGAGTATTCTCAATACCTTTTAGCTGAATATTGTATGGACTTTTAAGGAAAAGTTACATCTCAATCACTTCTGGGAGTTAAACAGTTAAGGGGATGTCTCAGATCAATGGATTTGCTATACTACAGTATGTAGCAGGCTCGATTACCAGCCCCTGTTTGGGAACCGCAGCATGGGCTCCTCCCACAAGGAGTCTCTTACTGGGGAGGAACAAAAAAGACCACACCTGAGAGTGCAGCAGAAGTCGAGCCTAAGTTTGTAGGGGCTGTGGATTGGAAAATCATGCCTAATGTACAAAAAGCAGGACTTTAAAGTAATTCTTACCAATTTGACCACACATCTCACATGGTCTCTTTTGGTTTGGTTTAAACTCTTCCCTGATAATTGTGAAGTGAAGCTCATGAGTTGCAAGTCCTGTACAAAAGGCAAGGAAAGGCAGAACTTTAAGACAAGGTACTGGACATAATCACTAAAACCCTGTTACAGGGTTCATGAAATTTGAGAAATTGGCCAAAGAGAGCCCAATGGGTAACTCTGAATTGTGTCAACTCATTTTGTCAACATTTTCACTTATAACAAAATCAAAAATGTTAAAAATACTCACCCAGCATGATCAGATCAGCTGAAAGAAACCAAACAACTGTGTCAGCTCTAGTTATCTGATATTATCGAGAAATTATAATAATGACTTGTGTTTTACATGAACATACCATCAGCACCATTCAAACAGTGCTTTGTGTTTGGGTCATGATGTGGACTTGCTGAAACAAACAAACAGAAGAAACAAAATTAATGCAATTTTCATACCACTCTGGTGAAGTTAGAAGTTTTTCAAATATCCTGAAATTAGTATATACTAAAACAGTGGATAGCATTGAAGGCGTGCTCTGATTGGCTAGTCAAACTCCGAATATCCTTTGCTTTTTACCTCTGAGCAACTTGGGGAAAAAAAATGGCATGCTGGTTTGCATCTGTGACAAGCGAAGAAATCACTCAAATCAATTTTTGGTGGTGTATATTATCTCACTGTTTTAGTATATACTAAAACAACTATTCACCTCAGTGTCAGTGGTTAGCAGTGGATATTTACCTCACCGCTTCGCGGCTCGGTAAATATCCACCACTAACCACCTCCATTTCAGTGAATAGTTGTTAATTATAAAGACTTCTCCTGTTAGCCCCCACGATTTGATTGTTAAATTTTCTCCCCTCTAGCTACTACACATTTTCTTGTAAATAAGTGATGAGAATTTGGTGTTAGATCAAGTCTATTAACTTCTACCTGATAAGTTTGAGAATTCTCATTACCTGTTTGCTGTATAATGTATGGATATCATAAGGAAAAAGTTAGTTGTTTAGCACATCTTGGAATTAAAGGGTTAAAAAAAATGAATGGAAAGGAAGTTCTCCCTAAAATATCAAAACATCTCAGCTGGCTTAAAGAAAGAGAAAAAATTACTAATGAATGTCTAGTAATCACTTCATTTTCAAAGCTAATTTGTGACAATTTGTGACCAATAATTATTCTTTAGGGGACATAAGATTCCATGGTGGGCTGAGACAGAAAAAGCTGCCCCGCCCAGTGTTTGGCCACTTGAAATGTGATTACAGAAAAAAAAAAAAAAAAAAAAAAAAAAAAAAAAAGAAAAAAAGAAAGAAAGAAAGAAAGAAAGAAAGAAAGAAAATGGCAGTGATATGGTGAATTGCTTAAGGTCAGGCCAATGTAACAATGTTTGATTCTTGATCAAGGTGTGCAGACCCCCAGGACTCAGTTTGTACATCATGGCCTGGAGCCAAATGCCATCCTTAACAGCTCTCCAACTCATTCAATAAGTACACGTGATCTTGAGAGCGAGAGGTACATCTCACCTCTTTGCTTTCTGATGTAGTCCATTATCTTATGCTCACCCTCTCCAGGAACATTAGCATCTGATAATATCACCTTAAAATGTATACATTCTGTACATAAAATAATTCAAGATAATTCACACCTTAAACCCAAATGACAACACTACATCTTTGTGAGCTTTATTTAAGACACACCTGGCTAATCACGGGTAATTACCGGGAGCAAGGTTGGCATAGAGTGCTCGCCTTCCACTAATGTGTCCCGGGTTCAATTCCCAGACCTGGCATCATAAGTGGATTGAGTTTGTTGGTTCTCTACTCTGCTCTGAGAGCTTTTTCTCTGGGTACTCCGGTTTTCTCCTCTCCTCAAAAACCATCACCATTTGAATTTATCTAATTTAGAGTTTATTTGCATTTACACATGACCCCACAAGCTGTTCAGCTTTAAACATTATTGTGTCTAAATAAAGGTGTTATTATTATTATTATTATTATTATTATTATAATCATGAAAGGATATCTGCTGTTGTACCAGACTTGCGTGAATGTCAATGAAACTTCAAGTCTATTAACCCTTTAACTCCTAAGGGGTGAGTGGGATTTCATTTCTCTTGACAATTATACTGTACTGCTATTTCAATCATTAAGAAAAGAAATTTTATTACCAACTACAGAAGCTCTTGATTGTTTGACAAATTCTCCTTGTCAACAACTTAGGAAATGTATAGAGAACAGTATGGAGAATATGCATACTGATGTTGAGGTGTAGAAGGTTAAGATGCACTGTACTTACTTTTATATTCTTCCATCCAGGATCATTGTTTAATCTGTCAGCAATGTAATATCTTAAACATATAGACAAGTTTGCCATGAACTCTGTCCCCTGCATCAAAGAAAAATGAAGAAATGCACATGGAAGACTAGACACTGAAAAACAGTCCATAATTTGTTGATTCTGTCAACATGGCTCGAACCTCCCGATATCTCGAACCAAGTCTTGTTTCCCTTGGATTTGCTTCACTTGTAATTTCACCCCCGATTTCTCGAACTTCTGATTTCTCAAAACAACTTGTGTTTCCCCAGGAGGTTCGAGAAATCGAGATTCCACTGTACCAGTAACATTCGAGAGATGCTAATCGCCATGCTGATTGTGGTGATCATGATCACCGACACCAGATACGAAAATCAGATGATATCAGAGAAGACCAAACTGAATTCCAAGCATCTTCCAAAGGTTACTATAGTTACAGAAGGATAGACTTGCACGCTGGAGAGCATAGTATCTATGACTTCACAAGGGCCTTAAGTAAAAAAATTAAAACTCAGAGAATTTTCTAATTTCAATGCAGATTTGAACTACATATAACAGTGTACAACCAGGATACAACCGCCTCCCAGTTAGCTTAATTGGTAGAGCGCCGGACTGTTGTGCGGGAGGTCGAGAGTTCAAATCCGGCCGGACCAACACTCAGGGTCTTTAAATAACTGAGTAGAAAGTGCTGCCTTTGTAATAATATCTGCAAATGGTTAGACTTTCTAGTCTTCTCGGATAGGGACTATAAATGGAGGCCCCGTCTCACAAGCCCTTATATGTGATTTAAATTTGTGGGACGTTAAAGAATCCACACACTCCTCGAAAAGAGTGGGGCACATAGTGCCCGGTGTTGTGGTCTATCTTTGTGTAGTGTCTACCCAGGGTGAATTGGGGGGAGGGGTGGTGCCTCACATGGACCTTGTGTTCCGTTCGCACTAACCCTTCTGGGTCTAGTCACACCCGGTAAGTCGTTAAAACATAATAAACAAAACATAAAACGTTACAAACGATTGTTTTTTTTTTAAATGAGCTTGTCCATTGTCTCTTTTGTGCACTGCAATTATGCAAGAATCAACATCTTTTCAGATCATAAAGTGTACCGTACCATTGTAAACCACCTACTTTGGAATGATTTAAAACTTGGCTATTGCACCTCACCATAATGAACAATCAGAACCTGTTTTACACAATTAAACTTACTGGTGTGATACAGTTACTGTCAAAGTGTTCAGTTTTTTCTTTTTCTGGTGGTAAAAGAGCTCCTTCAGAAGAAAGTAATAAATAAAAAATCTGTTAAGTGTATAATTTCATGCCTTACTATAAATGCAGATGTGATCAAACTGTCCAGGGCATAAAACTTGGACCATCTGAACATCTGGGAGGGATAACTTTTCCATTTGAACAATAAAAAATATGACCTTAATTGTCAGATCAGACAACCAACAAATGGAGATTATTTATTTTTCACTTGACTTTGGACAAAATACATTATCTTTCTATATTTGATAAGTATGTTTGCTCATAAAAATAAGTACTACTTACAAAAAGTGATAAAAATTAAGTATCATTTTGCGTACCTTTTTCCATCAATTCACTTCTAATTCTTGCCATTTCCTCGGCTTTTTCCCTAAACAAAAGGTGAAAATTTAGAATTTCCTGCAATTACCTTTTGATCTAAAGTGTTCATACATTTTAACTAATTGGCTAACTGTTTCAGTACTAACTTGGTTTCTTTAGATGCTCTAAATCGACGAGATCTTTGCTGGTTCATTTTTGCTCTTGGAGCCTACAACAGATATGAAAGAATTAAAAATGAACATGCAAAATTTTTATTACAAATAAATCAAAATGAAAAATATTGTTAAATTTAATCAATAATAATCATTGATAAACAAACTTTCAAAGTGGCTCTTACCACTCCATCAATGGCCATGTAAAGTAACTTTCTGGGTCTGACAATAGAGAAGATTCTGTGAAAATAAAAAATAAAAAATAGAAAAAGAATTGATTATTGTGGGTAATGAGTGTTAATTATTTGCCTGTTTATATGGAGTTAGGGGACCCCAGGTAGGTGAAGTAACCTGCTTAGGTGGGGCAACCCACCTGTCCGTATAATCAATTTTTTCATTTTGATCACCTTTACATGATAGGTGGGGTAACCTACTGTAGCAGGTTGCCCAGTCTGCTTCGTAGGATAACCCTGTCAGCCACAGTCGCAATACTATTACTATTACTATTAGTTTATTATTATTATTATTATTATTAAGAAAAATTGACAAAATACAAAATATGATGTACCACTGCTCGCAGTTAGCTACAGCTATTCGAGGCGAGCAGTGGATTGACACATTAAATTAAGTATTATACAAATTATACTAAGTGGAATTAAAATTACAATTAAACTAAGTAGAATTAATTATTATCATACAATACATTATAATAGGCTTACAGAACTAAGAATTAAGTAGGAATAGTTACAATACTAATTTCAGAACTAAGTATAAAATAAGACACAATATGCTGCGTGAACTTCTCAAGGTGGGGTAATCCATCAAGCCAGGGTTGCATTTATGTTACATTTACAAGGAAGCCAACAACCTCAACCTGAAATCCCAGGGTTGTAAGATTGTAAATAAACACAGGCAATTTTTTGACCACAGCTAGGCAGAATACATCTCCAACTTAGGGTCCCCCACCTATGTATAAACAGGCCCTAAGAGAAAAATCTTACAAAGTGTTTCCTGTAAGTGAAAGGTGCAGTAGCCTAATGATCAGCGCGTTAGACTTCCGTTCTTGAGGTCTAGGTTTGAGACCTGGCTGGGTCGTTGCGTTGTGTCCCAGGGTAAACCAGGTTACTCACACAGTGCATCTCGGCACCCAGGAGTAAAAATAACCAAAACAAATTACCTGTCGATGTACTCAAAAATAGCCACCATCATTTCATCTTCATTCTTTGGAGCTGGCCTGGAAATGAATGATAAAATTTTCTATTTATTTTTTTATAAATTAGCTTTAGCCTGAGGCAAAGCTCTCAAGTCTTAAGCATTGAGTATGAGACTCATGCAAAAAAATGTAATCTAGAGAAGAAGGAGCAGATAACCATAAGACAACAGAAAAATCACAGTAAGATTTTTTCCCATTTACTCCATTTCCCTAAATCAAGGATATACTGTACTCCAGTAGAGTAAACCACATTTAGTTTGAATAAAACAAATACAAAAATTGCTGATTACTTGTTTTCTGGATGGCAGCAAGGATGAATGATTCCATTCATGTCCAGGTATAGGTTATCAAATTCATAGTCATTGGGGTTAGGTAAACTTGTGTCCACAGGGGCTCTCACTCCATCAACTTCAGGTCCCTAGGATGGTGAAAATAAAAGATAAATGTTCAAATTACAAACCAAAATTTCTGTGTTTTGATGAACATTATGCAATCATTTTTTCCTTAACCCTCTCGCTCTCAAGATCTCATTAGTAATTTTCCTTACTGTCTGTTACATAGTTTTTTTTTATTATGTTCATCAGGAGAACTTGGTATTGGATCAACTAAAAATCCACTAATTGATCATTTTCTTTATTCTCATCACTTGTCAGCTTGATATTGTATTGATATTGTAAGGAGAAATTCTGTCTCGGTCACTCATAGTAGGAACATTAAAGTACCTATGACACATTTTTTTTTCTGTTCTACATCAAAATATAATGACTCTTAAACATGTCTTCGCAACATTTGTGGTATTTTGCCCTTTTTTGAATTTTTTATCAAGCTCTATGATCTGCAGATAAAATGTCTGGCCGAGCAAAGAGGGACTGGGCGCCATGATGTCACAGTAGGAATCTTGTGGAGAGAAATATTCTTCATCGAGTCAGGGGTATTCGAAAAACCCCTACAAAATAATTTGGTTTTATTAAATGAGTTGATGGTGTTAATTAGGCACTGTTCAGTATTCCCATAGCTGACATTTTAAGCACGAGCCCCTCATCATTTACTAGATGGTGAAGGGCTAACAGCTGAAGGGTCAACTTTTGAGACTCTATACAGTGGCCAATTTACATTATCCTCAGTTAATAAAACAAAATGAGAGTTTTTTCTTTTCCCTCTCACATTGATTATAAAAACGCAAACTTGTTCCTTTCAGGAGAGGTATTATATTAAGGGTACATGTAACATAACCATTATTCTTCATCAGTAAACCAATATCGAAACTTCTTAATTCAAGACAATTGTTCATGAATGAACTTATCCTAACACTAACCCAAGTTTTGGTCCTTGATTCAAGTCAGTCTTCTCAATATGAGAAAGTGCTTTCTCTATCTTAAGAGGTCTGTTCTCGCTAGCTCTCAAGTCCGTGTGATAAAAAATCTTAATGTTAAAAGTGTTTCTTTGACGAACAGTTAGCACTGATCTTTATGTTAACGGCCTTGCTACTTTAACCATACTGAATTAGTACTTCCTTTAATAGATTATCATAGCAACAAAGCAGAAAGATCGTAAAATGTCGGCTCAGACACGTGTAGCTACTCCATCAAAAAGCTATCAATCCTTCAGTCAACTTACTTTCTCTTCGACACAGTGGACAACGATCGACGGGTATTTCTTCGATAGCCAACGAAAAAATGCTGGAACACCCATTCCCACGTTTTAAGTTAAGCAAACTGGAGTTGTTTCAACGCTGAAAAGTGAAAAGTCCACGTAAAAAAGTCCAAGGCCTATCGCTGAAAATACGAAGGCTTTTTCTAAAACTATGATGGTAGGTACGTCGTGTACGGGGACATGTAATGTCAATGGATCTCGACCATGCCGTCTTCCACTTTCTCTAAAGCAACAAAAACAGTCTCAATAAATAATAACAGTAAAACATTCAAGCGATGAATTTTTCGTTCACAGGGACGGGTGGAACAGAAAATTGCAGTTACGAAAAAGAAAAAAAAAAGAAAACCTCAACCCCAAAATATTGAGACCGTTTATATGACATTGTTTCTAAAGCATTTCTCTCCACCAGCAGCCCTTTTTTGACCTACTTTTACACTTCTGAACGTTTCCGGGACAGTGGCATTCTTTTCACGCTCTGCACTTGCCTTCCCAACTCATAGCTAAAGCCTGGAATGTGGAATAGTCTATTGGAAAAAGAGCTTGGAGGTCATTTGTGCAAATGTGGACTGAACATGCTTCATTAATCCCCCACCCATATCCCACTCCCTTAGAAACAGTCTTGTGGTGGGTCAATGTATCGTTTAGGTCAAAACTTGGTTTTCGTCTAAACAAAAGCGTGGCAAAAATATTCTCGTTTGCTTTAATTTGTTGTTTCATATAGTGTACGAAGGAAAGAGGAGAGCCTGGGGAAAGCAGTGAGTGGCAGGCTGGGAAGGGTGCTAAGGGGCCGACTATTTTACTTTTGAAGGGGTGGGTGGGTCATTTCTGGTCATCAAGAAATTTTTTTCTAGAAATCTGCTGGGCAGGATATTTTTTTCTGTTCTAAATGCTCTTTTTTTCTGTTACATTTGGGCTGCATGCAATTTTTTTCTTCCAACAAGCGCTTGCAGGAAATGTTTTTTTTGCCCCTAAGAAGGCATCCTCGGAGACCCAGGGGCTGTTGGTCGATTTCAAGTTAGGGCATGAAGAGCCCTAACTTGAAATCGACTCAGCCCCTGGGTCTCCGAGGATGGTAAGAAGGAGGCGCCAATCGTTCCAGCAGCAAGCCAATTAGATTACACAAATATGATGACGCATTCTGGGGGCGCCAAATGCGCGATGCGGTAACCAAAGAGTCAAGTTACATGGAGAAGCATGTATGGTGGCTGTTGGAGGAATATAACACTACCTCAAAAAATGAATGAAAATTAGTCGCTAACAGAGAATGAAAACGAAATGGCGGTAGAGCAAAATTGGTTTTTTCACCCTAGACTCAGCTAGGAGGCCTTCAAGGGTGGAAAGCGCCGTCGTGACCAGGTAAAACTTTTGAAAAACACATCGTTAGTGTTTTGCTTCTCTCTCAAAGAAAGAGGGGAGACATAGGCGACCAAAAGGTTTATTAGCTTCGCCAACGCAAGACCGAAAGAGCCAGGTTTGAGCTGTAGCTAAAGTAAAGGCAATTTTTTCTTAGGCAAAAGAGTGGGTTTTTTTCGTCACCACTGTGTACCAAAGACGAACAGTGACGAAGATATCGATGCGACAACCAAGCGCGGCTCAACTGCAGAATACCCCTCCACTCATTTACATGTCATTGAATACGAATAGCGTCAATCTGGGGCGGATACAGGGGTAGTTCGGTCGAGGCCCCTAAATTATCCCTCACTGTGCTGGAAATCGTGTTTCCGAAGACCTAATTTTCAAAATCTCCCGGTGGAGCATGCCCTCGGGCAATTCTCCGAACCCCCCGTGACTAAATCCTGGATCCGCCCCAGGGCCCAGTTGTTCGAAGGCTGATTAGCACAAACCCAAGGTTAAATTCTAATCAGGGTTTCTTTAATCCTTTGTTCAAAAGTCTTTTTTGGGATAATATTCCTTACACTTTTTCGAGCATCCAATCACCAAGTTGTAGACAAAAACAATTCCACTGAATTTCCTTTTAAAGCTTTCTGATCTGAAATCAGATTTTACAGTAACCCTGGGTTATCTTAACCCAGCTTTGAACAACCCGCCCCAGGTCTATTGTGTTATGCTTCGTTTTTCAAAGCCTCCTGACACCTGTAGATGAGGTGGACGAAAGTGGGTGACTACGAACATAGCAAATAAAGATGTCAAAGTGAGGGAAATAGTAACAAAACAAAAAAATTTGTCTGACTGGTCCTTACACGGGTCTTTCCAAATTTTTCTGACAACTTTGAAGCTAAAACTGCTTCTTGTTTGTAATTACTCCCTGGCTTTGACACTATTTGAAAGATAATCAAAACTATAACAAAATTCTCAGATATGTTAGGTTATCACCACCTAGTTTGTTTCTCAAATTTAGTCATAGTTTTGTTTATTTGGTAACAGGGCTTCATGTCAGCCAATTCTGCCAGTAATCATACTTGTAAGTAACAAATCTGACTCCACTTTTGCAACCATCCCATTTTTTTACTCATTCCTATGAATACAAAAGGAACTGGAATCCACTCATTCCTAATGCTCTCCCATAACAACTTCTGTGGAACTTCCTTGTGTACTCACAACATCAATAGACCCAACAAATGAACCACTCTTTAAAGAATAATTTTCCAATGCTTTAGTGCAAAGTTTATTTTTTTTTTCATTTTCTCTTGTGAAATGGAAGCAAACATTCTATTACACTTGTGAAACTTTGATTTACCACCAATTTTGTAGTATTTGTTTCTAAAATTCTTGATGTTTTATCTGTTAATGTTCCAGTAATGCATTAATACTCTATGCTACTTGATGCACAAACAATGATACACAACAGTACTTCATCAAAATCTCGAAAAAGTGTCATTTTCCTTTGGCTAAATGAAAAGAAATGAGTGGAAAACATTTTTTGCATATACCACTAGGCCCCAGAAATTGGACATTTAATCTTTTGATGGTTATTTGGTTTTTTGTAGTGGTCACCTTGTCTGGTCTTTTTTTTGCCAATTTGCTCAAAAAGATCTCAAGTTGGTACTGTTTAGTTGTTTTGTTATATCTGCACACATAAACCTTTCTATCTGTGATGCTGATCAGAAGCTCTCGCTTATATCTACAACAAGTCTTTCATTGAAATGTTTACAAAGTAACTTCACACTCCACTGATTTTTACTAAACAAGCAGTAGCTTCTTTTGCTTCAGAAATGTTTAAACCTTTGAATTGAAAAAAAACTCACTTTGTATAGCCTTGAGGAGCTTAAATGAAATTATGATGTAATAATACCAGATAAAGAAAATTCATCTACTTTTGGAACACATTCCAAGTAAAAGAAAATCTTAATTGAATAACTATATTGATTTTAAAAAAAGTTCCAAGTCTGGTTCTGATTCTGTAATGATATTTATCAAATCATGACAATCATTTTTTATCTGATGTGCTACAAATTTCACATAGATATGGTTTTATTCATACATTGCACACATCCCACAGCCGCAAAATACATAAATTCTGTTTCTTCTTTTAAAGGAGTGATAGAGTAGACATTCAACATCTGCTAAAATATGTAAATTGCCTCATTAGTGGACAGCTGTTTGACAAAGCTAGATCTCATGTTTCAAAGGCTGTGACTTCTCAAAGGGGTAACTCCAGCTTCCCCTAAAAACACTTTATTAATGACTTATTTTCCATCCTTCCTTATTTTGAATTTATCTGCTAGCCTATATCCCATGTATTGAAGAATGGAAACATAGAAAAAAGTCTTTGTCACACTTGTTGTTTATGTACCAATTTACAAATTATATCTCCTATGCATAAAGTATACCTAAATCAAGCTTTGATGGTGTTTGGCTCTTAATTTTTGGGGGAACAGGGATCTATCAGATAAAGTCTATTGTGAACATACCTCAACTGAAATCTGCTTTTTCTCTTGTATCATCGGTGTGTAAATCCTTATATTTTGATGAATAGAATATCAATATGATATTACTTTACCCAAATTACCAGCAATTTTCCTCTTGCCTGTTCATTACTATGTTATGTACTTTTAGTAACTAAATAATTTCTGGTTCTAATCTTTAAACCTTAAGCTAGTTGATCATTAAATGAAGTAATTAATATCTTCATATCTTTCACACCAAATAGACTCACTAAGATGGAGGTACAATTAATTTTAAGATATTTTGCTCAAGTTCTGTAGTATCAGAGTTGAATTGTTAATTTGGACATATAGCAATGTACCAAACAATACTTTTTTTGGAGAAAAAAGAATAAACAAGTTGAGGACAATCTACACACGAAAAGTATGTACCAATATTCTCAAGTGGCTAATTTTTCAACCACATGTTCTAAGGGGATTTTGGTTAATTATATTACAAAATTTGCAGCACTGGTCTGATCTTCTGATCCACACTTAATATTCTAATATGACCTGTTCAACTTTAGTCTATTTTAACTTCTGTGGGAGTGTTGATAATCCAAGAAAATGTGACTCATACAATAAAGTTTTTTTTTAAGAAACCCTGCTTTCACAAGTGGCATGAGCACAAGCTTGAGAATCAAGGTATACTCTAGCTTTAGCACTGAATGTCAATTGTTTATCACAAATTTGGCAGTTTTAATTTTGGAATGTGTTGTACACAAACCCCCCCCAAAAAAAACAAGCAAAAACTAAAAAGACGATACTCTCCTTTATCATTGCCATTACGTGTATAAAGCCAGACATTCTGAACTTACTGTTTGATAGCCATGTAGATGGCTAGAACTGAAATTCAACACTTTTTTGCATCTTATCTTGGGCAGCCTTTTCACTCAGCAGGAACAGAGTATCTAGCATTTCTTTGCACACCAAACTGGTTTTGTTTCGAGTTGCCTTTACTTTACAATTTCTTCAAAACCCCCATAGGTAGTGTTGTGTAGGAGGAGTATAGAAAATGTTTTTAACACTTAGCTATGCAGAACTGCTTGAGCATTATCTCTTAATAAAAATTCATGTGCAAATGATGTTTTGTTGTGTTGGTTTGTTTTTTAAGGATCCCAGTTAACCAGCCTTTGTGAATTACTTTTTAATGCCATTTTCCTGGACATTGTGGTATATGTCATCTTCATCCTCTCTAAGTTTTGTAGCATCCAAAATTATCAAGCTGCCATCTTGACAGCCACTGTATATCCTTCCTTTAGTAGCCTGAAAAGTAACGTAAAGAAGAGCATTTTGGCACATAATTTTAATTTATACAGACATGTATTACATGTAGTAGTGCTGTTTACCCTTTTAACTCTCGGAAGTGATTTACATGCAACTTCTCCCTATACGCATGCATTATCCAGCCAACAGGTTACAAGAATAGTCTACCTTATCAGGTAGAAGTTATCTCAATCTAAGACCAAATTCTTGTAACTACTTTACAAGGAAATGTGTAGCTGCTATTAGAGGAGGATAAACAATCAGATCTTGGGCGTGAAAGGGTTTAGTGTGGAAGGATGGCAATATTATCTCCTTTTTAGTGATTATCAAAAGGCAATTTTTTGCAAACTAAGGAAAGTTGAATATTTTTTAATCTCCATGATGACAGCTGTGGTAAAAGCAATTATTTCATTTTCTTTTGCAGAGTACAGTTTAAGTTTGGAACAAGCATATGGTTTGCATTGGGAAAGGACAGTTGGATGAAATGAAGAAAAATAATGCCACCAGGTACCTGATTATTGAATTGTGGCTAAAACACCTCAACACTTGAAAATCATTTTGAAAATCTTTGTCTCTCCATAATCTTAACCTTTTTGAAATTCTCAAATATTTTTATACAAAAAAATAGTTTTGTTGACCTGTACTTGAGATAACAAGCAGAGAACGAAATATTTGTGAAGAACAATAAAAATTATATGGGTTGGATTCCTATTGAAGCCTGAATATTTTCAGGCTTCTTTTTCTGCAACGAGATTAATTCTTTATTTTTCATTGAGGAATATCTTAAAATTAAGGTACAATAACACTTAGTGGAGGCGCGGTGGCCTCATGGTTGGTGCACTCGACTCCAGATCAAGTGGTCCGGGTTCGAGCCCCGGCCGGGGACCTTGTGTTGTGTTCTTAGGCAAGACACTACTCTCACAGTGCCTCTCTTCACCCAGGTGTTTAAATGGGTACTGGCAATTTAATGCTGGGGGCACCCCTGCGATGGACTAGCATCCCATCCAGGGGAGAGTAGAAATACTCCTAGTCGCTTCATGCTACAGAAACCGGAGTTAAGCACCAGCCTGATGGGCCACTAGGCTCGTAAACAGACTTTACCTTTACCTTTTACAATAACACTTAACTACTCACCACAAAACAACTAACTGGTCCTGATGCACTGAATGTTCTTTTACATGTGCCAGATTTGGATTCGTATACTTTGAGGGTCTTATCTCCACTGCAGGTAAATACTGTGGAGAGATTGGACAATATGGGTTGCTCAGCAAAGTCGAGTCTTCCCCCCCTCCCCACCCCAGGCCCAATACTAGGCCACTATGACCCCTCATTCCACTCGATAAAAGTCAAGTTAATTACTTGCAATTTTGTCACCCACTGGTGTTGACCACATATAGAGCATTTTCACATGACGTCACATTTTTCGTGGGAAAGTTGAGTCACCATGTTGGTGTTCTACATTTTTCAACATGGGGGGATATCCTCTCACAGATTATGCGAACGCACTCGATCCCCAAGTGAAAAAATGTTATTTAGAGAAGATTTCTTGTGTTGGAATTGATCCTCTCTTGTTATCAGACAAAAAATACAATCCAGAGTGCCTGCCTTTGGTCGAATCCATGGATTTACTGTTGTTTTTGGTGCTTGACACGAGTTATTACAGTAAGGACCATTTTAAGGCCTATAGAAGTCTACAGAACATGGTTCTAAACATGAAAGTGTTGCTATTGAAACTTATGAAAAGATCATGAAAGAAAAGCACATCAACTTTCAGGTAACGAAACGTGGCACGTTTATCAATAAACAATATCCATGGTTACATGCTACACCTGACTTTTTGTGTAGATGTGATTGCTGTGGGAATGGATGTGGGGAGGTCAAATGCCCCTATTGTTAAAAGGATACAGACTTGGAGCAGTATATAAACAAATACAACTCTTGTTTGAAGTCAGAAAATGGAGATTCAAGTCTGAAAAGGGAGCATTCCTACTTTTACCAAATCCAACAGTAAAAATTCACTGCTGAAAAGCTTTACTCTGACTTTGTTGTTTGTGGTTTTTGTGAGCAAATTGATCTCGTCTGTGAAAGAATTTTGCGTGATGTCAGCCACTGGCACTCTGCTGTTTCCAAACTTAATCACTTCTGGAGATACTGTGTGCTACCAGAAATTTTGGGAAGGTGGTATACTCAAAAGTGAAGTTTGTCTCATTCATCCCCTGATCCCAGTTCTGCTTGTTTTTGCAGACTGGCAACTAGAGGGCCTGTGGTAACATGCACAAACCAGGCATGTCCCATGTCTACTTTTTATTTATCTTGTTTGAAAATTACAAAAGTACCTAACAAGTGATTTTGTCCCCTGTGTCTAAAAACACCAGGAGCCAAAAATGAAAAATCAAAATGCAAACAGACGAAAGATATTTTGGATGAAGCTCTCAAATTAGATTTTATCTGCACATGCAAACAGAAGCCACTGTGTTCAGATAAACTGCTGAAATGCCACAACCCATTTTGTCAAGGTAGAAAGTTTTTTTCATTTGCCCTGCTTATACTTCAAGCGGATGCTGGACAATGCAATGACAACTTGGGAATGTATGGTGTGTAAATTACGAGGAGAAACTGAACAAAGGTTGTTAATGACTCTTTCAATACACCTGATGATAGTGTTGTGATAACTGGTGTTTCAAAATGCTCTTCAGAAAAGACAGCATCACTTGCAAAGCTGAATGATGGGCATTACCAATTGATTTCATCACCCAATGGTTGGCTTGACTGTGATATTATCCTTGAAGTATATGTTTATCTAAGAAACATTAATCCAGATGTGGAGGGCTTTCAGAGACCAACTTTGGGCCCTGTTAAAAACTTCAATCAGGTTATTGGGGAATTTATTCAGATTCTACATACTGGTAATGCCCACTGGGTATGTGTAAGCTCAGTGGGGTGTGAAGATGGCACTGTCAACTTGTATGACAGTTTATATCATAACATTATTCTAAATGAAGTACAAGAGCAGGTACTCAATCTTGTTGGATGTTCAAATTTTACCAGCATTCAAGTTGTCCCTGTGCAACAACAGACAAATAGCAGTGACTGTGGAGTATTTGCTGCTGCCTTTGCTACATGCTTTGCTTATGGTATACACCCTGAAACAATGCAATTTGATGTCCCTAAAATGAGAAACCATTTATATCAGTCTTTAAAATCTGGTGTATTGAAAATGTTTCATAAATTTTAGACTGCTTGAGGTACATCTACAGTTAAAACATTTTTGGAGAGAAAGAATACCCACTTTATTATAGTGAAAATAAAATAGTTGCCCGATGCAATGGACCTGCATATTTGAATGCCCAAGATAGAGGGTAGGGACCCAGTCTAAGTTGAATCGATCCGAATCTTTCGCAGCTTCTCCTGAAATGAAGTGCCAGCTGTAGACCCTATCACATTCTAAAATATCATCAGTCAAGTCATCGCTACTTATCGCACAGATCCACATACTTCTTCGATTAGAAGTAAGTTCTTTGGTGTACTCTCCTTGATTGACTGTAACACGTGGGACACAAAAAAACCTTACTTTTTCAACATTAGACCACTTCTTCCCTGTTTTGTTCCCACAGCTAATGACGAGGCAAAGGACCATGATAAAGAAAATATAAACATTACACTATTGTCTTCTCAAACCCATAAAATTTTCTCCAAATGTTTCCTGTCACAATACTCACAGCTGATTATCATGGAACACCAACATGGCAGATGAAGTCGGTTACCATGACAATAAAGAAATTTGGTCACGCGAGTGAAAACGCTCTATATCTTACAATTCACAAGAATTACACAATGTTTGCCCCAAAGATCAATATAAAATTGCATAATTTTCTGGTGTTGATTTTAGTTGTAATTATCCTTGCCCAGTTTGTCAAGCACTTGTGTGAGAACCAGTTCGATATTGTTGGTGGAAAATGTCAGTTGAGTTGAGTGCTCCACTGGTTTTGCATGGTTATCATGGGTTCAAATCCCATCATTTGTGGTATACAAAGCTTAGATACACTTCTTCTTCCATTAGAATGTAATATTTTCCAAGGAAAGTATGACTATTTGCATGATTCCTTTAACAAAGCCAAAATTTTATTATTTGAACCTAAGTATTTTGATTGATTATAATCAATTACACATATAAGCAAAGACCACCTGGGTCTCGGTTATGTACCCAGCAAATGCCATACTAAGCACATGGAAATAACTGGCAAATTAACTTACTTAGGCTGTCGGAGAATTGCAGATTAATTATTGTATGTTTGTGTCCCTTGTATGTCCGCGTACAGTCGCCAAATTCAACCACCCAGCATTTTGCTGAGTGATCTGCACTACAGGAGTACATCAGCTTGTTGACAACCTGCAGACGTAAATGACAACGATACTCTTATGGTGCAACTAGGCTAAGTACCTTAAGATAAAGGCTGCTGATCAGCCAAGTGGTCCTCACTGTTAGAACTTATCTCATTTCATGCACAGTATGAACTAGGTTTATTGTTTTTTCCACATGTATATATGTAAGTAAGCAACCTTTACAGTCATCCCAGACCTCCTATATTTAACAATTATTCCACAAGCGCGCGTTGAATATGAGATGATAGATAGCCAACGAGGCGCATAGCGCCAAGTTGGCTATAATCATCTCATATCCAACAAACGCAAGTGGAATAATTGTTTTATTAAAAAAAACGCCCCCAAGCTATTAGACAAATCTTCTCGACTTTATTTTGTGAGAAGAAACCGGATTTAACAATGTACAGAAATTAGATTATGGTATATTGGCTCATATACCATAATGGCTGAGCCAATAAAAAGTCTTGAACTGCATTATCTAATGATCCAGTTTTTAATAAATCCTATTATCCTATAATTTTTATAGGTTCCTATAAAGAGCCTCTATTTCATGAAATCCTCTTATATTTCCGATAAAATTTATTAAAATAGGACAACTGCTGAATGATACATTTATATTTTTGATGCACTTTTTAGCATTTTTGCAGTCAAAATCTAACATAATTTCTTCCTTTGAATATTCTAGTTCCTTTTATTTGGCAAAGCCAATAAAAATGGATATTAAAATTGACATTAACAATATAATAACGGGCCTCCTGTGGTATTAAACACCAACAAACTGCTACTTAGTTTCATATCTCAACCAAATTTTGTGCAACTTCAGAGGGTTCGTGTTAAGCGCAAACTGAATTACCTTAAAGCCAGTTTTTACATATGGTTTAGTACAATGTTAAAAGACCCTATGGCTCGAGTCTCAGGGTAAACCAAGGTGTAGCATATGCCCAAAATTTTAATTGTGACTTTCAGCTAAAATGTAAATTTCTTTCGGTTAAGATTAAAGCTGTTCTAAAATATTATTGTTCTCTGTTCAGATTATTGCTGAGTTGAATATTTACCACCAAACTAGAAGTAAAACCCTCAATGAACTGATGTGTGGGAGAATATTCTATCTCTCTTTCTTCCCTTCTGCATGCAAACGAAATCTTGAGAATGGCCCATTTCATTTTAAATTTTGGCTGTTTGAAGTCCCCAACAGCTAAAATAGACTTTTTCGATTTTCTCCAAATTGAAGCGGTCTTTCGGAAAACAAGCTAAATCACGTTTTGTTACATACCAATATTTATTGATGGACAAAATATGAGCGGAAAAATTTCCCCTCTGGCCGTTGGTAGCTGAATTTTTATAGGCATTTACTCTTAAAAGCTTTTTTGGCTCATATAACGTGCCTTTATTTTGGGGAAAAATGCTATATTTTCCTATATTTAGAACTTGCACAACCTATATTTCCTATGAAATTGTTAAAAAAATGGCTGGGATATTGCCTGCCTTTATCAATATGGTCAACTACTCATAGCTCATAACAGTATTGTGGGTATCAGTACTTTCTAGGTATTGCCACAAATAAAAGAAAAGATGAATAAGGAAAAAAGAAAAGAAACAATAATAGTAATGATAATAAAAATTTGAGAGCATGTTAAGTACTTAAAGAAAGGAAACAAAGTTGGCATTTTGTTTCTAATCAACTTTTTGCCTATTATTGTTAGGAAAAATTCCTTTTTGGTCACATTTGTGAGCGATAGGGTCAAGGCTGAGAGATAAACAAGGTATTGCTTAGCTGACATGGAAGGGAATTTGAAATCAATATGGAATTTTGTAGCTGTATTCTCTAAATCAATCTAAATATTGAAGCATGAGAGATTTTGAAGTATTTGAAATTTTTTTTGTATTCTCTAAATCAATCTAAATATTGAAGCATGGGAGATTTTGAAGTATTTGAATTTTTTAAGACAGCTAATTACTAAAAGTGATTTCCATATTCTTATTACCACTAAGTCTTCATTTCCATACCAATATTTTAATAAATTCTAAATAGCTAAAGCAATATTTCGGTAATAATGACATCACACTTAAAAGCTGGATTATGCTTATGGAAAAGTGTGGGTATTAAACTTGCAAGCTGTTACATGCATACGCTCCCACACTTTTCAGAGCTGAGGTCATTAAAATTTAAAATTTTACATTGTTTCTGGAACTGGATGTTTATCTGAATTCAAAATAAAGAAGTGAAATGGACCATTTTAATCAGATGGCTTTAGAAAACAACAATAAAAAAACTAAATGGAGTTGGTGTTTTCAAATTTGTTTTGCGACTGATACTTGAAAGCCCGCTTGCATTCAAAGTGAAATGAAGTGCAAAGATGGCCTCCCACAAGGATGCTTGTATACACGTGTTTATGATAATGCAGCATGACAGGGCTCATTCATCTGTTTTCAGGGTCCGTTTTATGGCGAATCAATGAAAAACAATGCCGATAACACCAACAGCGTGTCTTACGTAGGAGTTTGCGAGGCAAACTCACTAATTAGGAAAAATAATTATTTAGGCAAAATGACGACACTTTTCTTCCTCTTAAGTCGGCTTCTTTTTTTGACAGTACTCATCTTAAGCCATCAGTTTTACCACTTGTCACCTCAAATAATTCGTGGACAGGTCTGCAAGTAGCTCGCAAAACCAACTTAAACCCATTTTAAAATTGAATGCATATTGCAAATGTTTCCACGACAACCAAACCTTTTAGCGCAAATTAATCAGGCAAAATAAAGAAAGGCTTGTATATCATCCTCTGTAACAAACTAGGAGATACCACAAACCCTTTAGCGTGCACTGTACATTTTCAAGAAAGTCAATAAAGACAATGGAAATTCGGCAGCAGTGGAACGATAATAGGTTTCAAGCCATTAAATTTCGCGCAAGACTTAAGGTCTTACAGGAATAATAATTTATTGAAATAAAACACTGCTGAAGAAAAAGAAGGAAACTAAGAAATAGATCAGATTTAATGGGGTTAGTGCTTCTTTTGTTTTCTTTTTTCCCTTTTTTGTTTGGTGCTCTTTATTCGCCTGCTCAAGTCAATACATACATGTAGAAAACAAGCTATCATGTGAAAAATTTGTTTGTTGTCGACGATTGCATTTAGAAACCACAAAGTGTGATCGAATGTAGACGGAGGGATGTCATTATGTCAATTTTTATCGCACGGTAAATTTTCAAGTTAAGTATTTTTTTAACCAAGATAACGAATACTCTAAAAAGAAGTAATTGCGATAATTTCAATGCCTCGCAATAGAGCAACAGAATTCGACGAAGCGAAAAATTGACATAGAAAGTGAAAGCACTGGTGGTGCGGCTTGGGTTAAAAATAGGCTTTCAGAAAACATTATTTCCGCGCTCTCAGAAAGCCACCGACAAAAAAAATCGGCTTAAGAAACCAGTCTGTAAACCAAATGCATCCGTAATCGACATATGTTATTTAAACGATCACTGTTTTGAGAAATTATAAGCTTAAAACGGCTTTGTCATTTCTAATGGATCCTTCAACTGCATTATTATTCATAATTTGAAATAGCATTCATAAACAAGTTCAGGAAGTTTTTCGTTGATTCATAAGAGTAAACTATTTCGCAATTTATTCTTAAAAAGACAAGAATTATATGGGAAAATAACTGGGTAGTTATTAAATTATCGTATTCTGCACTTAATTCGCGTACCTGTAGCTGTATAATAGTGCCTTGGTGACCCTGCAAGGTCTTTATAGGAGCTCCAGTGAGAAGATCCCAAGAGCGAATCGTCGTATCGGCCGAACCAGTAAATAAAGTTTTTCCTTTACCGTCCACGGCTAAGCAGGTCACTGCTGAGCTATGTCCTTTGTAAGTAACAAGGCATTCGTTTGAATTCATTCCCCAGCTCTTAGCTGTTCCATCAACCGAACCAGAAATGAGAATATCATCGTTGTTTTCCAAATCTGCTCCGAACGCCGCTCCACGGTTTGAATCCGACACTAGTTGCAGCGGCATCACCGATAACCGGTGCCCGCGGAAAGTTCGTAAGCATTCACCTGTGTCCGCGTGCCAGCATTTCACTGTTTTGTCGTAAGAACTTGAAAATGCTAAGTCCCCTGAGCAGATTACACGATTTACAGTCGAATGGTGGCCGACAAATATTTTTATCGAGGCTCCGCTCTCTAAGTTCCACTTTCGAACAGTCTTGTCGGCCGAACTGGTAAATATATACCTTTCCGAAACACACACGCTCGTGATATAACCTTTATGGCCTTGTAATAATCCTACACACTCTTCAGTCCTTGTATCCCAAAGCCGACCAGTCATGTCTTCAGAAACGGTGACGATCGTGTTTCCATCGTGACTAATACAAATCGCGTTTATCGCTCCCTCATGTTCTTGTACGCTTTTTAACAAGTACCCGTCTTTTTTTCCTTTCTTCTTCGTCCGTGCCGCCGGCGTTTGAGTTTGTTTCTTTGAGATCCCACTGCCCATGATATATTGTATCGGAGCAGAGCAGTTACTATTCTTCTTGTTGAAACGCGGTGTAGATTATCTCATCTTTGGTAGCCATTACATCTAGTCTTCTAAGTTTTCGATCAGAGAAATAAACGTGTTTTGGGAAACCATATCAAGTAGTAGACGTGTAGAAGGAAGAAACAATCATGGCGATTTGCGACTTTGAAGTCCCATGAGGCAAAAATCTTGGACGTCTATTCCTTGGCTAGCTAGGTAGCGCGCTGACCTGCAGTAGGAACGATTGAGGAAAATGCATTGAAAACACGGCAAACAGTGCAACTCTGTCGTTCTTGCGACGTTTCCTGAGTTACAGGAATTTGTAATGAGCTTGAAACAATGTAGTTTAATTAGAGGAGTTGCTATAGTAAGATCTTGGCCATCATTGGCCGGCAGTAAGTTTCAAATTAGAATTTTCCCGTCGAGGTGTCTAATAGGACTTATTTTTGCCCGTCAGGATAATAAAATTACTTTTGTCGCGGCAAAACTAGCATAAATCGTTTCCAAAATCTACAGAAGATTTTAATAATGTGTCGGACGTGTGCCTATAACGTTTTGTGGAAACAATGGACCAAAAACAAAATAAAAAACAAAACGTGACACCGATTATTGTATTTCAAAGTTATGTTAGCGTTTTCTGCTCTCGTCATTTCTTTTTGCTTTTTTTTCCCCAGCGAAAAGATTTTAATTTGGACATACTTGGTGATCAGACATATCAGTTTGCGGCTGCGGGAAAGCTTGGCGAGATGTTTGTTGATGTTATCCTCAAGTTTAAAATGCTCTAATGTAATCAGGAGACCCCCTACCGGGAAATTCAGGACATTAGAAGTTGAAGTTATTGAAGTCGTGTGACGGAGCAGTCAATTTGAATTGTAGTCTTTGCTGTTCAAAATGAATTCAGCCAGTTTGAACGCAATTGATAAGAGAATTAACAAATGGACGAATCTCATTACAGAAATAATTTCCCAACCCTGGACTTCTCGGAAAGAAGGGAATATGTGCGTGGCTCTCTCGCAAAGGGTTGGAAGCAATTTTTGGCTGTGTATTCTAAGAGGTTTGTGATAAAAAAATACACAAATAATCGAATGCTTTCAACCTGGTTGTCTTGGCGATAACTAGATAGCTTAGCAGTACCCCTTTAACGACGCATTACCCAGAGAAGCTTTTCAAACCCTGATCCACTTGCCATTTGTCGCCAAAACAGAGCCATGTAAACATTGTAACAAACAAAGTAATGGAACAAATAAAAATCAACAAGACTTGATTTCTTCATAGAAGTTCAGTTCTAGAGGATTCATTGATCAACTTAAAGACAAACTTGTTATTGTTGCCTAATAAACATTTTGAAAACATCGTATCAATATAAGAAAGCGAGATTTAAATTAGAATTAAACAGAGAACCTCGATGATGGAGGCAATGGAAGGAATATAAACTTTGGAAATTAAACTGAAAAAGTAAGGGAAAAAAGAAACCTTTGATGGTTTATTCCCTGACGAAGCTGCTTTTTTGCTTTACATAGTTTCGGTAATGCTCTGATTCTTTGCCAGTGTTGTCATTCGTGGAAATTTTTTTCCAAGGAAGTCTTTACTGCTCACGTCACGATCTCGATTTAGCCTTGTCAATGTTTTGTTTAATTTGAGGACGTGATCACCTGTCGCACAGTCACTCATCGATGTGCCAGGTTTAATTTAGCATCTTTGCGAACTTTAAACTGTCAGTAGAATCGTCTCATGTAAAATCGAACGTTCGATCAGATCATACCTAAAATAACCTTTTCGGGGGTTGATAAGGGTGGAAGGCTTGTCACAAAATGCGGGTCTCCTAAAAGATTTTTCACCATTTTCATACCTTGCCGTCTGTGTTCATTATTATTTATTTATGTAGATCTTTTTCCTTTTACGCAATATTTAAGCAGCGGTTTGCGCGCCATCCACGCGCATGATCGCGAAATAAAAAGCAAAGTAAGCAGAAGAAAGAAATCGAAATGTTGGATATGGTGCTGATTTTAGAATTTTTTAATATTATCCTCTGGTTTGGGGAAACCTTAATTCTTTTTATGGCATTTTGTCGGAAGCGTCAGCTGCACTGCCCCCTGGCGTTCTTTTAAAGGAGTAAATTATAGGCTTTCAAGAAATCTGCATTTTAAGTTCGATTTTCGTGGCTAAAATGAATTAACAACGACGTGTTAGCTTTGTGCCCAACGTCATCGCATGTATTTGTATCCGTGGTCGACAACAGCTGTTTGTAAGGACTTGAAAAGTATTATTTTGGGAAAGTTTCATCACGATTTGTAAACGAAAACTAACAGGCTCGGATGTGTCTCGGACGAATTTCGCACTGGACAAGACAAGACAAAGAAAAACAGCATTTTGAAAAGTGGTTAATTATACGGACAATTAAATGACGGCCAGAAAGGATGATGAATAAACCTTTCTAATCGTCATAGTTACCAAGTTCAACTTTTCTTTCAGCACTGATTGTAAAATGAACTTAATCAATAGCCTTTTCATTAGCCGAAGACATTACGACGAGTCAAAAGGCGATGCATTTAGTTGAAAAATTACTAAAGAAATCGATTCAAAGCTTAGATCTTCTCCATGTTAGTTAGTTTGGTTTAAGAGCTTTTCCAACAAACACTTGTGTAATATTTTAATGCCAACACGTCTCCATTTCCATTTAATGCTATCATTTTGCATCAGTAAGGTACTTAAATCAGTAGGCTATTTTGTTGTCTTTTTGTGTGTGTTTTTGTTTAACTTCCACTGACTGCGTAAGACCACTGATTTTCACGGAAGCCCGAGGGATAAAAATGCTTTGTTTGCCGACCTTTTATTGTTGGTTTATAATCGGCCGCATATAGAGGTTTTACCAATGCATAACACGCTTAGGTTTGAAAACTGGGCACTACCTCCAATCAAGCATATTTTGTTTGCCTTCTAAAAAAGGAAAGAAAAAACGTTTTAGTCATAAGTTAGCATGTCAATGAGGGGTATTTTATATCGATCAATAGGTGAAGAAGAGGACATATGGCATGTTTTCAGAAGCGTGATACGCAAACTTTAAAATTCAGGGTCCTTCAGAGTGTAATTTGATGGCAAACATCCTTTCTACTTTATCGATGCTCATTCAATACTTGCCTAGTTTTTGAAAAGAATCCCTGTTAAACCACTACTTTTCCTTTCTTTATAACAGCGACCGTTTCTCGAATTGCTTTTAGCCCACGTCAACAAGCGATCCACAAGAAGGTGGCCTTGAAACTGTTGTCAATCAATTTTGGATGTAAGAAGTTATTTGGTGATTAAATTTAACTCTCAGGCCTGTGAAGTATTGCAATACTCGCGACCGGTCACAGAGTTAGCTCTTTCTCCCTCTTGATCTGCCAAATTACAATTTTTTTTTTATGTTTTTACCACAGTGTTCAGTGTTTTCCCTTTTCCAGTACAAAAATAGAATATTACAATAGAGTTTATTTTGTGCGTGTGGTGATATGTAGATTCTGCAATAAACGATTAATATCAATCGCTGCCCGCGTCAGACCAAATTCGTGCTTTTATCTATCACCCGCAGGTTTGAGTGATTAAAAGTTGTTTTCATGTCATTAATAGTCTACACGTGAGAACGTGTTTCGTCCTTAATAGCAGGCATACCTTTGATTTTGGTATACCGCCGTATTATTTGATTATCCTATTGCTGTTTTTGAACCCGCAGTGCAGGTGAAGTGCTGGGAGATGATCGCAGCTTACCGCGGTTTCTTTCAGTATTTCTTTCTTTTTTTTTTTTTTTTTCACGTAAAGCTGAAAGAGAAACTAAAAAATGAACAAAGTATTTCCTTGGGAATTTCTTCAAGTGCCTCTTTCGTCCTTGCGAAACACCTCGACGTTTTCCTTCTTGGTTGAGTGTTACTGTGACGAAAAACCAAATAGGTCTTTGCTACAGTTTTAATGCTATTCTGTTCGAGAATGTGTGTTTAAAAAAGATTTCACACCCATGGCAAACAACCCTACGGACTCGTGTAAGAGTCGATTTATACAGTTGATACTTAAAAGCACGCCAACAGGCGTAAAGTTATATTAGGTATAAGTATTCATCCAACAAAGACGACATGCATCAGCAGAAAGAACTAGATGGTCGATCATATCCTATCTTTTTCTGTTTCACACATACCGCCACACCCGCTTTACCTCGCCCGTCATCTCGCTTAATCATTTCAGTCTGAGCAGTGACTGATGAATAATTTCTCCTAACGATATCATTACATCGTCAATTTGAAAGTTGATTTGAAGAAAGAAAAATATTCAACAGATAAATGTGATTAAACAGAGTCAAAACTTTAAGAAATATATGGCAGGTAGTGAAGAAATGTACTGTGGAACCTCGATTTAACGAAGCGCTATTACAACGAAGTCCTCGGTGTAACGCACGATTCTTCAGTTTCAGCCCGGCTAAAGTTACAATGAAATGTACGCCGCAGAACCTCAATATAACGAACCAATTTCCCCAGTCCCTTAGCACTTCGTTAAATCGAGGTAACTAGATATTGGAAACCCTTGGTAGGTAGCCTCTCTCCAGCCCAGTCCGTGGGCGACTACAGCTCGTTCAGACCCGGACTCTATCGTGAGCCGTGGCATAAAGGCGAGGGAAGGTCGTCTCCTGTTTCGCATCTTCTTGATTTATGCTTGTTTCTCCTAGAGAAGACTGGGGACGAGTAAAGCATTCTATGGCTTCAAGCAGAAGAGTAACGTTGTAGTTTGTACCATGCAGCTTGGTCTCAAATCCAAATGTCGGCGACGCTTAAAGCGAAAAAGCAATTGCAAATTGACGAGTGAAGGGGTTTAACATGGTTTTTGAGGCAGATTTTAAGGGTTTTTGTTAAAAATAACTGATAGAAATCTTGTCACGAACATGACATGAACATGAGGAACGAATTTTTTTTTTTTTTTTTTTTTTAATTTTCCGAATCGTAGCAGTATGCAGGATGCTCTTCACATTGGAATCTAGTATATCAGGTTTTTGGCCTGTTTCATCACAAAGTCTCTGTGGTAGAGCGTCGGAGCATGATGAGGTTCGAATTCCTCTTTGGGACTCAGTTTTTTTTTTTTTGTCTCACGCTCGAGTTTAGGCAAATATGATATCCCTCTTCACCTCACCTACATATTTAGGGTTTTCCCAGTAAAATTGTTATCCATTAAGTTTTACTCGAGGAATGGGTGTTTTGATGTAGAGGTCTCGCTGAATTTTATGATATCGACCATCTGTCCAATTACAGATCGTAAATGACACTTTCCTTCTAATGACAGTAGCGTCATGTTGACGCCTTTAATTACTGGTCTTTTATTGCCCTTCGGAGAACCTACTTATTACCAATAAGATTTAGATAGTTCTGTTATGGTTTTAATTAAAAAAAGGAAATGATAAATCTTCTCCTGTTAAGTTAATTTTCGAAGTCTCCTGTTGAATCGTACTCATTATTAACACTCTTGATTCTTTTGAACCTTAGAGTGAGAGTTCAGATATTTCCTGTTTCCTTCAAACTATCAAACTTCTGAATCAATCACCGGATGGTAATGAAGTACCTACCGGCAGACATGTTTCCTTTAGACCTTAACTCGCCTGAGGGACCAAAACAGAATTTTTCTATACAATATCAATACAATATCATGCAGACAAGGGATGAGAACAAAGAAAAATATCAGTTATGGGATTATCAGTTCATCCAATACCAAATTCTCCGAATTATGGACGTCAGTAAGGAGAATAATTAATGAGATCTTGGGCGTAAAAGAGTTAACAGGTATAATAGAGTTGCGGTTTTTGTCAAAAATGATTTGCCGCTGTACGAAACGTTTTCCTTAGTGTTGTATTACTTGTATTATTAAAAACTGGATCATTGGATAATGCAATTCAAGACTTTTCATTGGCTTAGCCATTATGGTATATGAGCCAATATACCATAAACTACGATATGGTAAGCGTATGCCTAAGCTTAAAATTGAAAGGGAGCTAAAAATTTAATAAAATTTAATAATTTAATGTAGCGTTTTTAATAAAACAATTATTCCACTCGCGTTTGTTGGATATGAGATGATTATAGCCAACTCGGCGCTACGCGCCTCGTTGGCTATCTATCATCTCATATCCAACGCGCGCTCGTGGAATAATTGTTAATAATTAAAAACTGGATCATTGGATAATGCAATTCAAGACTTTTCATTGGCTTAGCCATTATGGTATATGAGCCAATATACCATAAACTACGATATGGTAAGCGTATGCATAAGCTTAAAATTGAAAGGGAGCTAAAAATTTAATAAAATTTAATAATTTAATGTAGCGTTTTTAATAAAACAATTATTCCACTCGCGTTTGTTGGATATGAGATGATTATAGCCAACTCGGCGCTACGCGCCTCGTTGACTATTTATCATCTCATATCCAACGCGCGCTCGTGGAATAATTGTTAAATATTTTGTGGCAACGCGTGCAATTTCTGTTGCGGTGTTGTCTTAACTTGCAACGGTAGAAGTTGCGACGGAAGCGCATCATGGTAGAGCATCGGAGCGCGGAATCCGAAGGTTTGAGGTTCGATTCCTCGCGGGGACTCAGAATTTTATTCTTGTTCCACGCTCGTGACAAATGAAGGCGAATAAACATCTTTCGCAATTTGCTGTTTTCATATATTGGAAAATTTGCACAAATTTCCTCGACTTGTCAATTGCATTACGTGCAGGTCTTCACCGTCCTCAGCAATTTTCGTTACCTTTTGCTTTGTCCTTGTTTCACGATAGACCTCCTACTGGTGAGTGGTGCTTGCTCTCTGTCTTCCTCTTGGATGTCTTGTAAGGAGTTGATTTTAGCGCAACCATTTCTAGATAAATAAGTAAATACAAACACATATTAACACAATTGTTATCAAGATGACTCACTAGCATCCAATCCAGGCAAAGAAGTTGGCTTGTGAGTAAACACAGGAAGCTAAGACCTTGTTTAGACTAGGTCAAAACCATTACTAAGAGGTCCTTCAATGAACGATAATTTTAGCGACGAGAGAAACAAAGCAAAATACTTCCGTTGCCCCTCTTTTGCGACTCTGTCTGGTCTTCAGCCGACTCTTAGTCGAATGATTGGAATACCCTTATTTTTTTCATTTTGAAATGGACAGCAGTGGGGGGTCAGTTGGGTAATCCATATGTATCCCTTGTCCCTCTGCTCTTTTAAAGGTAGGTTTTTTACGGACATTTTGCTTTTTCTTTTGATCTCAGCAGCACTTCGCATGTGTGCCAGCATTGTAAAGACATAATGCTGCGATGACCTTAGATAAACCTTTTTTATATTGAGCGGCAAGTGGTGTGTGGAGGTCTGTTGTTAACTTCTAATAATCTCTGTCGCCAAGTATGAAATAGATTTCAGGTGAGCCAATGAAAATAGTGCTTCTCAAAGAGGAGGTTACCTAAATGAAATCCCCGGCGCCGGTCGGTCATCGAACATTTCTAAAAGACAGGGTTCTAACAAAGCATGTGAGGATTAGCAGAATTAGCACAGTGAATGACCTGCGAACCACGAATGAATTTATTGAAAATAGCAAGTAGTAAATAATCTGCCTGTTATTCGAACCCCTTAGTAGCAAACAATTCGTACATTTAATTCGTCGGTAACTGCAAGTTTCTGAAATGAATTTGCGCGCGGTTGTTCCAAGTTTTGCCGCGTCGACGAAAACTGAAGTCTGTGATACACTCTTTGTAATACTAGCGTGAGCTTGTAATTTACATTAATTTTAGGACGATGTATTGTAATCAGTCTTATGGGAAACGCAAGAAATAATTTTAATTGAAATTTTACATACCAAATTTGTAAAGTGCGTTTTGAAGTAGCTTCTAGTGTTTTTGTGTGTGTGTGTGTGTGGAAAGCTGAGGCAGAATTGCGTTTCTATTTTAAGCCAAGTCGACGACATCACATCTTCAAAACATTAGGCCGATGATTTTGTTGTTTGCACTTGCTGTACAGTAGCGTGACATTAGTTTGTTTACTACCTCTAAAGCAAACTTCTGTTTTATCCTATTTCCCAACAGTCTCGCTGAAGTCAGTTGCTCCAAACTTAGGCGCGCCAAGTTGAATGGCGAATCTTTGGAGCGTAGCTCGAGAATGGTTCCTCAAACAGAATCCGCGACGCAATGTAACACCTCGCAAAATTAGTACAGTCTTAGAGATTCTACAGAACCAAGAAGAGGCTAAAGATCACGTTTATTATGATGCCTTAAGACGAATTTCAGCTTCCAAGGTTAGTTGGTTGACAATTTAATGCCTTGCAAAACTTGCTTTTGTTTGTTCCTGTTGTAAAAACGGTCATGGCTTGTTTTCGGATGGAATTAATCGCCGACTCCGTATTCTCTCGCTTCGAGTGTGAATAAAGATTTCTTTCGAAGAAAAACTTGCGGCGAGTCTGCTTTCGTTGTTGATGAGTTCGGCCGGTGTGACCAGACACTTTGAATTTACAATACTGAATTGAACTCGGTTAAGTTCATAGGAAACGATGTTGTGACAGTGTTCGACTATAGTGATTTCTTTAAGGCTGACAGCCAGCCTTACCAAAACAGCGTTTAATTTATATTCTTTTCTCAGTTTCATAAGTTGCTGATTGCACAACGCAAATATTTTAAGAAGCGGTCTCAACTTTTAAACGTGGCTTCATGGCTTCCTTTTCTAGCAAAATCACAAAGTACGACAAGACGTGCAGTGATGTAAACTAACTCATTGACTGTGCAATTTGTAAGAACAAGCCTGTCTGTGGTCCTCTATCTTTGGATGCTATTGCTAATTACAGGCAAAAATGTAAGGCCGCTTGGTGGTGAATCAAACTTTTTTATATCTGCTTGTAATATTTTCGTCGATTTTGAGCTGCAGTTAAGAAGTTTTTGTTTTCACCGATAAAGAGTTTTAGACAAAAGCATAAGTATTCCGTTGTGTTCGTGGATCAAATCAAACGTCCTATTGAATAATTCTTTTCTGACCGTTGTTTGTTTAATCCAAGACGATCATTTGCAATAAAGGTCATTTGAATTAAATGACAAAGTTTTGTTATAAGCGCAACGCGGATCCAATTCTTCCCTTGTCTTCTAATATCCTCTAGTGAGAGTAAAATATCCTGAACAGAAAAAGTAACTTTAATCCTGAGAGATTTTTGAATTAGCGCTAATTTGTTAATTTGTGCTGTTTACTTTAAAAAGTGTGCGAAATTGGATTTCATGCTAAAATTGGGAACCAGGAGATGAGGGTGTGATTGAAAACTCGGCTTTGAGTTTGACAGTGTGCTAATAACAACCCTAACACTTCAGTGCGTTCTAGTGGTCGTTGTCAGGTGAATACAACATAACAAGCAGTGTGTGTCCCAATTGGCTCGTTCACAGATAATCAAGGACATCTTTCGCACATACTAAACACTCTTTTTAGGGTCGACTTGCTTTCGTGGTTTTCTTAATTGAATGTGACATGACGAACTTTCATCAGTGTGTCCAGTACCGCTTGTTCGCGCATACTTTACTGAAGTTTTTCCGCATTTAAGACATTTAGCGGATTGTATTTGCATGTGCGCTGTCGCGGCACACTTAAAAATAAGACAGATCTGACGGGAAATCTCGACAGGCAGTTAACATTCTTCTCCACTCACTGAATTCTTCTGTTGCCGAGTAAATTTTTTCAAGTCTTGGGCGATTTTGAAGCCATTAGGCTTCATTGCTGCTGGTAGAAAGACATATTACTGGAATGTCGAGTTTTTAAAACAGCGAGTTAATGTTCCACCTGTCCCTAACATGACGATTAAACATTTCCACAT